CAAGAGGGAATTGAAGCGCGAGGCAGTGATTGGCCAGTCACAGCACAGGCAAACCCACAACAACCCTCGCCATAAAAAACAAAAGCACACGGTACTGTTCAGACTTCTCAAAACTTGAAAGCTCTTTACCACTCTAGACTCTAGACGTAGTAGGCTCCTTAGCCCGTCATTCCATGATTCGGGAACCGCGCTGAGGCTTTATTTCTCGATCAGTCATTCTGCCTAACACTTCCAGCCCACGTCTTTAGATCTCACCCTTCGATCAGGTTAGGAGCCTCGCAATCCTCATTCACGGCTGTTTTGACTTGCCTCCCAACCCTTCCGTCGCTCTCGTCGCTCCTATAGCTCTTGTCGCTTCCATCAGTCCCGCCCCCTCAGACACTCCCCATCTATCGCTCGCATGCAGGATGCACGGAAAGATAGCGAGAACCGTCGCCCTTGTCCCTCGTTGCTCAAGAAACTCCCGTCGCGTTTGTCCCTCCCGTCGCTCCTGTCCCTTGTCCATCCCGTCGCTCAACTTTCCCTTTCCGTTGCCCACGCTTGTCCATCCCGTCGCTCACCGCTTTCTCTTTCTGTGGCCCACGCTTGTTCATCCCGTCACTCACCGCTTTCCCTTTCCGTCTGTCGGAATGTTATGTTTGTCTAGCCTGCAGTGGGGTACTCAATAGTGAGTACAGCCCAACTTAGGGTTTCATATATGTACTCAACTGCTTGCTAGTGAACCATCCTCTCTTCTTCCATTCTCTCGTTCTAAACTTCACATGCTATCAGAGCGACTACGCTCCTGGCCTGTGGGCCCACCTAACTGCTTCCGCTGTTACTCTGTGTACTACACACCCCGTGGCGTGCCCCTCGCGCGACCCTTAGTGGCCCTGTCGCCACCCCCCGCGGCCCCGTCGCCGCCCTTCTCGGCCCCTCGCGGCCCCTTCGCGGCCCCGTTGCCGCCCCTTTCGGCCCCTCGCGGCCCCTTCGCAGCCCCGATGCCGCCCCTTTCAGGCCCCTCGCGGCCCCTTCGCGGCCCGTCCCCGCCCTTCCAGGCCCCTCGCGGCCCCTTCGCTGCCCCGTCGCCGCCCCTATCGGCCCCGTCGCCGCCGCCAGCCGCCCTGCCGCCGACCCTAGCGGCCCCGTCGCCGCCCCTATCGGCCCCGTCGCCGCCGCCAGCGGCCCCGTCGCCGCCCCTATCGGCCCCGTCGCCGCCGCCAGCGGCCCCGTCGCCGACCCTAGCGGCCCTTTCGCCGCCACCGGTCCCGTCGCCGATCCTAGCGGCCCCGTCGCCGCCCCTATCGGCCCCGTCGCGGCCCCTATCGGCCCCGTCGCCGCCTCCAGTGGCCCCGTCGCCGCCACTTGCGGCCCCATCGCCGCCCCTTTCGGCCCTTCCTCGACCCTGCCCCGGCCCTAGCCCGGCCATGCTGCGCCGCCAGTCGCGGCGCACCGGGGGCACGTGCACCCCCCCCCCCCCCCCCCCCCCCCCCCCCCTTTTTCCCGTCGCCCGTCGCGGCTCCCTCGGGGGCCGCGACCTGGGGAAGGGGGGCGAGCGTCGCCCCTTCTGCCGCCTGTTTTGGCGCCCTGGGAGACCGCGCGTCGCCCCCCCCCCCCCCCCCCCCCCCCTAACCTCCCTACCCACTGTCCCGCCCTGCCCTGTGTTAGGGTCTGGGGGTGGCGAGTAGGGGGTGACGGGTGTGTGGTCTCCCCTGCTCCTCCTCCTCCTTCGTCTCCCACTGCTGCAGCTGTCGCTGAGGGGGGTGGATGTGTGGGAGCCTGGGGTTTAGGGTTTAAGGGGGGTGCTGTGGGAGTGGAGCTAGGGTTTTGAGGGAGGTGGATGTGTGTGAGCCTGCGGTTTAGGGTGTAAGGGGGGTGCTATGGGAGTGGAGCTAGGGTTTGAGTAGGGGGTGTGTGTCGAGAGGTGTGGGGCAGCTGGAGGAGGTTGGTTGAACGGAGGTTGTCGTCGTGTCGTCAGCAGCACCAGTAGTCCGGGGCGCTGCTCCGGTAGCCCAGTCGTAGCGAGCTGTGCCAGTCGCCCGTGGGTCCGTTGCTCGTCTGCCGCTAGTCTTAGTCGCGGAGCCAGTTACTCCAGTAGTCCGGAGCGCTGTTCCGGTAGCCGCTGAGCCAGTGTGACTCCTGTTGCCCGTGTGTCTGCAGCTTCAGCCGTCGCCTCCTATCTCCTCTCCTCTTACAGTCTGGCCTCCTCCTCCTCACTTGCCCTTTGTGAATGACTCTAGCTTTGCTCGCTATTGTGAACTCCTGCTCTATGCCCGCTTGCTCATTGTGCTGATTACACCCCACTTTGGCTATGGGGGTGTGTCAGAATGTTATGTTTGTCTAGCCTGCAGTGGGGTACTCAATAGTGAGGACAGCCCAACTTAGGGTTTCATATATGTACTCAACTGCTTGCTAGTGAACCATCCTCTCTTCTTCCATTCTCTCGTTCTAAACTTCACACCGTCGCCCACGCTTGTCCATCCCGTCGCTCACCGCTTTCCCTTTCCGTCGCCCACGCTTTTCCATCCCGTTGCTCACCGCTTTCCCTTCCCGTCGTTCGCCCTTTTCCTTCCGTTCCCCCTCGCTTTTCCTTCCTGTTGTTCCCGCTCCTCCCGTCGATCCCATCGCTTTCGTCCCTCACGTCGCTCACGTTGCTCCCGTCGCTCTCTTCCCTTCGGTCCCTCCCGTCCCTCTCCGTCTCTCGCCTTCCTTCCCTCTTCGCCTCTCCCTTTTCCCTACACAGTCCTACCCTCAGCACTGTGTCCCCCCTTCTCTATGTGCAGCGTCCCCGCTTCCCTACGCACATTTCCCGCCCCCTTTCCCTACGTGCAGTTTTTTCCTTTCCCTGCGTGCAGCTCCCCCCACATGTCCTTCCCCCTGTTGCCCTGATCCCTATGCCCCATGCCACATGCCCAATGCCCCAAGTTCACATGCCACATGCCCCACGCCTCATGCCCCATGCCCCACGTCCCATGCCCCATGCTCTCATTGCCTCTTCGCCTCTTCCATTCATCCCTCCTTCCTTCCCGTCTCTGCTCCTACCCTCCCTTCCCGCTCCTCGCTCTTCGCGCTCGTATTGTTTGCCCTGCCTGCCGCCCTCACTTTCCGTGCGTGCCGCCTTTGTTCTCCCTGCCCGTTCGGAGCACTAGTGTTCCCCCTTTCTGAACCAATCCGCTTCCCCCCGCCCTTCTCTCTCCCTCTCCCCCTTCCATATCCCATGTGCCCATCCTCAACCCGCTCTTTCACTCTCGACGCTCACTCACTCCCAACGCTTTCACTCCCGACACTCTCTCACTCCCGACACTCTCTTGTCAGTAGAGCTGCACTGTGAGATCCCCGATTGATCCTTGGGGGGTTACACGCATGTTAGCCTGGGGGGTTATGGGCGCACTGACCCGCTGCTGAAACAAGCCCTTTTATCCCAATGGTCTAGTGGTTGGGATTCTGACATGGTATCAGAGCGGTCTCGGGTTCGAATCCCGGTGTATGCACATGCAGGACGTTGCCGCTGTGCTCAGTCCTGGGCCTCCCAGTATGGGGGGGTGTCAGTAGAGCTGCACTGTGAGATCCCCGATTGATCCTTGGGGGGTTACAGGCATGTTAGCCTGGGGGGTTATGGGCGCACTGACCCGCTACTGAAACAAGCCCTTTTATCCCAAACATCTCTCACTCCCGACGCTCTCTCACTCCCGACGCTCTCTCACTCCCTACATCCTCAATCTTTCCCCCTCTCCCCCACTGTTCCCCCTCACCCTCACCTCAGCCTTTTCCCAACTCCACTCACCCCTGCTGCCCCAAGCTGCCACGTGGCTGCTGGGGTGGTCACCTCTCCATACATCATTCGCTGCTTCCATCATTGTCACTCCTCTCTCTGCCTCTCTCGTCAAATCCCTCTAAGCACATCCCCTCCTTTCCCACTCGCCCCCTCCCTCCTTTCCCTCTCAGCCCCTCTCCATCCCCCTCAGCCCCTCTACCCCTTTCCCTCTCGACCCTTCTCCCCCCCTCTTTTTTCAGCCCCTCTACCCCTTTCCCTCTCAGCCCCTCTAATCGTTTCCCTCTCAGCCCCTCTAATCGTTTCCCTCTCAGCCCCTCTTCCCCTTGTTCCTCCCTCCCTTTCCCCCTGTCCTTCCCTCCTTTTTGTCAAACTAAATGTTTATTGTTAGTTAGGCTGTATTGGGACTAGCTTTAGGGGGTACAGAATTTCTCTCGACATTCTAGCCTTCTACCCCCATCTTGAACTAATCTACTCAATTCTTGCCTAGTATTCTTAATATGGTAACTAGAGCAATAGGTCCTTAGGACCTGAGATTCGGGCCCACCATTGTCTGCCCCTACAGCCTTGCCTGCCTTGCCTGCTGCCCGCGCGAGCCTTGGCTACGCGCGCCCATTAAAATTCTTTTTTTTTAGTGCGCCCCACTACTGCACCTCGCGAACGGCCCGCTGCAGCTTAGTGCGTCGTGCTGCCCGCCTCAGCCGCCCGTCGCCTGCAGCCGCGCGAAGCCCGCAGCCTGCCGCTCGACGCCGCGCACAGCTTGCAGCCGCGCGCAGCCCGTTGCCACGCGTAGCCCGCCGCCCGCCGCTGCGTGCAGCCTGCAGCCGCGCGCAGCACGTCGACCCAAGCAGCCCGCAGCCGCGCGCAGCTTGCAGCCCCGCGCATCCTGTCGCTGCTGCGCTCTGCTCTGCCTGCACGCTGCCGCCTCGCCCTGCGCGCTTGCTGCCCTGCCTTGTGCCTGCCTTGTCTTGCACCTTCCTGCCTTGCACCTGCCGGCCTGCCTGCCTGCTTACTGGCCTGTCTGCCTGCCTACTGGCCTGCCTGCCTGCCTTGAGTCTTGCGGCCTGCATGCCTGCCTTGTGCCTGCCTTGCCTTGCACCTTCCTGCCTTGCACCTGCCGGCCTGCCTGCCTGCCTACTGGCCTGCCTGCTGGCCTGCCTGCCTGCCTTGCGCCTTGCATCCATTGCGCCAGCCTGACTTATGAGCCTGATAGCTGTTGTGGTCTGCTGCCTTTGCCTATGCTGCTGTAATGGTGACGCTTAACGTTCTAGCGTTTGAGCCCGACGGTCGCCCGATAGAGTTTGCCACTTGGCTTGACGACCTGCAGCTATTTCTTATGACAGATGCCAAAGATGGCGTTTCTCTGTTCGATCACGCGCCAGGCACTGCCGTTGCCCCTATTGCCACTGATCCTGTTCTTCACCGCTCACAGTGGCAGACTCGCGATGTTGCTGCGCGCCTCGCTATCGGTAACCACCTGCCGATCACTGAGCGCACGCATTTTAGTCAGCACAAGATTGCTAAGGCGCTATATGACGCTGTAGTTGCACGCTATTCCTCCCCAACCACTGCAGTCATAGGACGCCTCATCCTGCCGTACCTGTTCCCCGACCTGTCCTCGTTTACCATCGCTGAGGACCTCATCTCTCACCTCCGCACTAGTGACGCCCGCTTTCGTGCCGCTCTTACCGACATGTACCTCGCCACGAACACCTCACCGCTATACTTTACCCTCTACATCCTCGTCACTCGCCTCCCTAACACTCTTAGCTCGGTCAGGGACCATTTCCTCGCCAAGGACCCTACCACTATCACGCTAGCCGACTTCGAGCAGCAGCTTCTAGCAGCAGAGAAGAACATCCTCGCTGTAGGTGCTGCCCGTGGCACTCCACGCACTCCCCTCTTTGAGGGGTGCTCCCCCTCCCCTCTTGCCCCCTCCTACGTCTCAGCTGCTGCTGCAGTCGACCTCCTCAGTGCTGAGAAGGTTGCAGCGGCTTCCGCTCCTAGTGGAAAGCGCGGCAGTGGCAGGGGCGGCAAGGGTGGCAGGGGTGGTGGCGGTGGCGGTGGCGGGAGCGGTGGTGGAGGCGGCGGGGGTGGTGGCGGTGGTGGGGGTGGTCTTGAGGGTGGAGGAGGTGGGTGGGGCGGTGGTGGAACCGGGAGTGGTGGAGGTGGCAGCGGAGGTAGTGGAGGAGGAGGCAGTGGTGGTGGCAGTGGAGGTGGGGGCGGGAGTGGGACCAGCCATAAGGGGAGTTCCAGTGGTGGCCAGCAGCAGCAGCAGCGCCAGACCCCCTCTTCTCAGCAGCTCCATGACTGGTATGCTGGGCGTGAGGCGTCTGGGGGTCCTGGTCGCTGCCCCTATGTCATTCTCACTGGTCCCCGTAAGGGTCGCCCATGCAACGACTTTCACACTGAGAACCGCTGCTTCGCTCGGCTCAGCGACGCCTGGCGCGTCAAGTTTCCTGATGCTGCTGAATTCCCCAACTGGGCAGATTTGCTTAGGCGTGATATACCTATCTTTGATCTTGATTATGATGTAATCCTTGCTGCCATGTATGCATTGACTGTAAGTGCTGAGGGTGACTGTTACTTGTGTGTGCCGCCAGACCCCGGTATAGACTCAGGTATAGCGCCTGCAGCCCTAGGTGCTAGTGAGTCTGCTCTCCCTGGTACTGCGTCCGCTTAGGCCTTGCACACCTTTACACTTGACCCTGGTGCTTCCGGCTGTTTCTTTCGTGACAGCACCACAGTCACTCCCCTTCGTCGTCCTGTCCCTGTCTCACTGGCTGACCCCTTTGGGGGCCCAGTGCTTGCACGGTCCACCACTGTGCTTCCGTGTCCGGCGGTCCCGTCTGGTGAGCTGTCAGGTCTCCACCTCTCCTCGTTCTCTACGAACCTGGTGAGCAACGCCGTCCTTCAGGATCACTGGGTTGACATCTTAAATCCTGGAGGACAGCGTGTGGCGATCTGCACGTGCTTCCGGACAGGCCGCCACATGGCCACGTTCACACGTGCGCCTGGGTCCAGTCTGTACACCCTCACCACTGCGTCGCGCTACACCCCTTGTCTCCCCAGCTGTACGCGTCTGCTCAGGTAGCTACCCAGTGTGAGTGTCGCCGGCTGTCGCACGACACTCTCCTGTAGCACCACCGCCTTGGTCACCCCTCCCTGCCTCGCCTTCGGAGCATGCACTCTCGCTTCCTGGTCTCTGGCCTTCCCAGGTCTCTGCCTGCCCTCCCTCCCTCGCCTGCGCCACCCTGCATTCGTTGTGTCGAGGGGCGGCAGCGCGCCGCTCCTCACTCCTCCTCGTTCCCTCCCACAGAGGCTCCACTGCAGACTCTCCACCTGGACGTGTGGGGCCTAGCCCGCATCCGTGGACATGGCCACGAGCGGTACTTCCTGCTGGTCGTCGACGACTACACGCGTTATACCACGGTCTTCCCCTTGCAGCGCAAGGGAGACGTCCCTAATGTTTTGATCCCCTGGATCCGCGCTGTTCGTCTCCAGCTCCGCGAGCGGTTCCAGTCGGACCTTCCTGTCCTTCGTCTGCACTCTAACAGAGGTGGTGAGTTCTCCTCAGACCTCTTGGCAGCCTACTGTGCGGAGCACGGCATCTGCAAGACGTTCACGCTTTCGGCCTCTCCGCAGCAGAATGGGGTTGCTGAGCGCCGCATTGGCTTAGTCATGGAGGTCGCTGGTACCTCCATGATCCATGCGGCTGCCCCCCATTTTCTGTGGCCGTTTGCGGTCAAGTACGCTGCACATCAGCTCAACCTCTGGCCCTGTGTCTCTGTATCGGAGACGTCGCCCACACTGCGTTGGATGGGGGAGGTTGGCGATGCATCGTGTTTCCGCGTCTGGGGTGCCCGTGCCTTTGTTCGCGATACCGCTACGGACAAGCTCTCCCCTCGCGCCATTCCCTCCGTCTTCCTTGGCTTTGTCCCTGACGCGCCTGGCTGGCAGTTCTACGACCCACCCATGCGCCGTGTATTTGCGTCTCAGGACGTCACCTTTGACGAGTCCGTCCCCTTTTACCGTCTCTTCCCTACCGCACTACTCCTCGCCCCCCTTCGCCGCTCTTTCTCGCTCCAGGTCCTCCCCAGGTAGACCCCCTCCCCGCGCCAGGTCCTGCTCCTTCAGATGTTTCTTAGGTAGACCCTCCCGTGCCTGCGCCTGTGGAGGTCACTAGTGACTTAGGTCCTGTTGGGGGTGGTCCTGCTTGAGGTGCTGTGTCTGGGGGTGCTGAGCCTCAGGGTGTGGAGCCTGAGCCTAAGGAGCCTGGGGGTGCTGAGACTGGGGGTGCTGAGCCTCGGGGTGCGGAGCCTGCGTGTGAGGAGCCTGGGGGTGCGGAGTCTGGGGGTGCTGAGCCTGCGTGTGCGGAGCCTAGGGGTGCTGAGTCTGGGGGTGCTGAGACTGCTACTCCGCGGTCTCCTTGGAGTACCCGTCTTCGTGCGCGTGTACCTCTCACCTCACAGCAGCTGCACGACTGGTACGATCGCCGTCAGGGTCGCGCTTCTGGAGCTCGGAGCTCTGCTGCTAGAGGTACTTCTACTGCCGTTACTGGAGTTGGGAGTGGTGCTGGTCTCAAAGGTGCTCGTACTGGAGGTACTGGAGCTGCTGGGGCTGGATGTGCTGTTGAGCCTGAGGGTACTCCTGGTGGAGACCCTGGATCTGGGGGTGCTGCTGCTGGAGACACTGAGGCTAGTGACCTTGGGACAAGAGGTGCTGGTTGTGGGGGTGCTTCTGCTGAGGGTGCTGGAGCTGCTGAGGATGCTGGAGCTACTGAGGGTGTTGGAGCTGCTGAGGGTGCTGGAGCTGCTGGAGGTACTGGAGCTGCTGAGGGTGGTGGAGCTACTGGTGTTGGAGCTGCTGGTACTGGTGGCGCTGCGCAGCGACGCCTGTTCTTTGCCCCGCCTTCTCCGTCGTCTCTACCAACGCCTGCCTCCGTGCTTCGCCAGATTCTTAGCCTCCCGTCATCTACTGGTCTTCCGTTACAGCCTGGCTCACCCCTGCCTGCTCCTTCTCCTTACACTGAGCAGTCAGGAGGTCTTGCTGAGCGTCGTGAGCTTGCATCGCGTCTTGTCTCGCCTGTTCGTTCTGGTCGTCGTGTTCCTCGTCAGCGTCAGCGGTGTGAGGATCTGGGATCGAGCTCAGAAAAGATGATTCAAATTGAATTGAATGATCACCTGGGTACAACACGAGGCTATATATAGGCTCGACACAAGGCCCCGTAACCAGGTGTTACGCGAAGGTTCCGCGGGTCGCGAAGCGTCCCGAACAGATCCTTACCGAATTCGGTAGAAGGCAATTCGGTGGCAACCGAAAAGCCAGAATTCGGTGCACGCAACCTAGCTCGGTGCTATAACTATAATAAAATATAGGAAAGCACCTAGCCTAGGAAATCAAGCAATTCATGCATGCATATGATTATCCTATGCTAATAAATAGCATGATAAAGTAGAGGCAAGCAAGCATAGCTGGCATAAGCCGTCGTACTCTCACACGTCCCCCCCTCAAAGCTGGGTGGCGTGAGATACACCCTGCTTGACAAGATAGTCCTTGAGAGCACGGCGTGCGTTGCCCATATCAGCTTCTGCAGCCCAACTGTCCTCAGTGGGGTCGTATCCCTTCCAGCGTATCAGGAACTCGAGAGTCTTGCCACCGCGGCGCCGATGAGAGAGAACGCGCTCGATCTCGTACTCGGGTTCATCCTGTATGAGAGCAGGTGGTGGTGGCGGTAGTTGCCGTCCCTGGAACTATTGGTTGGGGTCCTTGTAGGTCTTCAGTAGCTGGACATGGAAAGCGTTGTGAAGCTTCCATGTATCTGGTAAGCGCAAGCGGAATGTAACTGGTGTCACCTGTGCCTCAACGAGAAAAGGACCACAGAAGCGAGGCCGGAGTTTGGATGGGAGGTGAGACAGGTTCAAGTTGCGCGTGTCAAGAAGCACCTGATCTCCGACTGCTACTGAGTGATCACGTCGCTGACGATCGGCATACTGCTTCTGGGAGTTCTGCATCGTGGTGAGACGTCGCTCAGTCTTCTCCCATAGCTGCTGCATGGTGGTGACGAAGTCATGTGCGGCTTGGACGTATGCCGGTGTGGTTGGCTGCTGTGGTGTGAGTGGTTCCCGTCCGTAACACAGGAAGAAAGGAGTTTTCCCTGTGGCCGCATGTGATGCGTTGTTGTAAGCGAACTCTAGGGTTGGTAACTGTGTGTCCCAGTGGCTGACGTCGTCCTTGCAAGCTGTGTGCAGTAACTGTTCAACCACTTGATTGAGTCGCTCTATCTGTCCGTCAGTCTGGGGGTGGTATGCTGAAGACATTGCAAGCTTTGTCCCCAACAGTCCCATGAGCTCCTTCCAGAACTTACTCGTGAATTTGGGGTCTCTGTCTGAGATGAGTGTAGCGGGGATGTCGTGGATGGTGATGATGCGGTCGAAGAAGAGTCGAGCAGTTGCTTCAGCTGTAGCTGTGGCGTTGGTCGGTATGAATTGACCCATTTTGGAGAACTTATCGATCACCACGAGGATGGAATCATGTCCCCGTGAGGTCGAAGGAAGTCCTGTGATGAAGTCGAGGCTAACGACCTGCCATGGCTGCTCCGGTACGGGTAGAGGCTGAAGTAACCCTGCTTTTTTCTGCTTGCTGCTCTTCATCCGCTAGCACGTGTCACAAGAGGTGACGAACTGCTGCACGTCTGCTGCCATCCCGGGCCAGTAGTAATACTTTGCTATCCCTGCTAACGTCTTGTTGCTCCCGAAATGTCCCGCGTATGGTACGTCGTGAAACTCCTCCAATAGGATCTGCCGTAGCGGGGCGTAATTCGGTACCCAAATCTTTCCTGAACCCTTCCTTACAGCTAAGTCTTTCTCCCACTGTAATAGCTTCTTGGTCTGTGCTGTAGCAATCTCTGTGTCCACGGAGTACCCATGTTGGAATAGACCCTTGAGCAGAGGGTTCATCCCGTCGAGCTGGATGCCTGCTACATGTCTGGGGCGGCTCAACGCGTCTGCCTTGTTGTGTAGCCCGGGCTTGTAGACGATGTCGTAGTAGAAGTGAGTTTCCAGGAAGTCCACCCACCGCACCTGTCGTCGTGAGAGTGTCGGCTGTGACTTCAGGTATTTGAGACTGCAGTGGTCAGTATAGACTGTAGTCTTGGCTCCCTCTAGGTAACACCTCCACGCCTTGAAGGCTATGACTATCGCTAAGGCTTCCTTGTCGTGAATGGGGTAGTTTAGTTCTGCTCCGTGTAGCTTCTTACTGAGGTAGGCGATGGGCTGCAAACCGCGTCCGTGATCCTGCATCAGTACTGCTCCGACTGCTTGGTCACTAGCGTCTGCTTCCACCACGTAGTCCTTGTCTGGATCCGGTAGGATGAGTACTGGCGCTGTAGTCAGTGCTGTCTGTTTGTTCAGTGCGCGGTAGTCGATGCACATCCGTAAACTACCGTCTGGCTTTGGAGTGAAGAGAACTTCTGCACCGTAGGGAGAGGTGGATGGGCGGATCAGTTGTCTGTCCAGTAGATACTCTATCTGTTTTTCATTTCTGTCAGTTCAGTTGGACTCAGTCGGTATGGTGCACGTGAGACGGGTTTCGCACCTGGTTCCTCCACGATCTCGTGCTCGTGGGTGCGTGCTGGAGATACGCCTGTGGGTAGGTCGTCGGGCATTATATCCTTGTACCGCTCCAAGACCTCCTCCTCTGCTGCTGCTATAACCAGTGCTAAGTAACCCGTGTTACTCTCGTTCACTGTCCGTTCGAACCGTGCCAGTGTCGTTTCAAGAACGCTCCCTGTATCCGTCAAGCTTCGCAACTCCACTCGTTTCCCGTTGTTGTAGATGCACACCTTGCTGTTGACCCAATCAATCTCGGGGTTGAACTGCTTCAGGAAATCTCGCCCCAAGATGAAATCTAATCCCTTGATGTTCGTGATCGGCAACGTCGGCTTCCACCTCAACGCCCCTATCTGCAGCTGCAGTGTTGACTTTCCGTGGATGGGAAGCTTCGTACCGTCCACCATCGTTGCTGTAAACTGGGTTTCTTCTGAGGATTCTCCAATTTTCTCCAACGTCCCGCGGTCGCACACCGAGTGGGACGCACCACTATCCACCAGGGCCTGGAGGCGACGCCCGTTGCAGATCACCTCGAGTACTAGTGGTTGCTGCTGCTCCGAGTTGTCGAAATATGTTTGTCATATTTTATAACTGCTTGTAGTTGTAGTGTAGTTATTGTACTTTGTAGGTGGTGCACCAACTATGTTTCCTATGCTATATGTTTCTTGAAACCTATAGTGAAACCCATTCTCCAATTTTTTCTTCTCTCCAACTCACTCGATACCTCTACTAGGGAAAATCCCGCTCGATACCTAAGTTCGGGCCTAGGCTACTAAGCCTAGGCCCCACCTCTTAACTTACCTATTACTCTCGACATGTTATCAGAGCGACGTTCGTTCTGGCCTCACGTTTCCGCTGCTACGATTTTCTGGTCGCGCGCCTAGGGCGCGTGACGAATTTTTCCTTGTCCCGCCCCGCGGCACGCGACGGTGCCCTTAACCTGCCCATCGTGCGCCCCGTGGCACACGATGGTGCCCTGCTCGTCGTGCGCCCCGAGGCACACGATCGGGCCCTTGCTCTTATCTTACCCGTCGTGCGCCCCGTGGCACTGGCACGCGACGGGCCTTTCCGCCCCTGCACTCCCTGAAGCCGCCCCTGACACCACTGCACCGACACCTTTTCGCCGCTCTGCGGCTTTCTTCCTTCCCACCCCCCTCCTCCTTTGTCTCCCTGCAGCCGCGGGGAGGAGGGTATGGGGGTGGAGGGTGTTGGAGTGTGGCGTCACCTCTCTCCCTTCCCCTCCTCCTTCTTTCAGTCCCACCGCTGCAGCTGCCGCTGGGGGGAGAAGGTGTGAGGATGTGGGGGAGCAGGGGGAGTGGTACCGGGGTGGCGGGTGTGAGGCAACATGCAGCCATCCCTCCACCTCTCCTCTCTTCCCCCCTTCTCTGCTGCTCCTGCAGCAGTGTGGGGGAGGGGAAGGAGGAGGGTGAGGAGATGGAGGGGGTAACTCTTTAATGTTAGCCCGCCTGCATTACCTGCTGTTGCTTGTGATTATTTTGCATGGTGTACCCCCTCAGGGGGGCGTAACTACTTTTCTACCTACAAGCATTATGGGGGCGTGTCGAAATATGTTTGTCATATTTTATAACTGCTTGTAGTTGTAGTGTAGTTATTGTACTTTGTAGGTGGTGCACCAACTATGTTTCCTATGCTATATGTTTCTTGAAACCTATAGTGAAACCCATTCTCCAATTTTTTCTTCTCTCCAACTCACTCGATACCTCTACTAGGGAAAATCCCGCTCGATACCTAAGTTCGGGCCTAGGCTACTAAGCCTAGGCCCCACCTCTTAACTTACCTATTACTCTCGACACGAGTATCCATAGATGGTATCGCTTATAGGATCGTAGGGTACGTCGAATATGTTATCCCTAGGTGCTGCGCTCAAAGATGCAGCTTCAGTATCAGTTTTCAACTGAGAAAGGTTAGAAGGATTTATCCGAGGCCGATTCGGCTTCTCTTGGGCCTGGAACCTTCCACTAAGCCTTTGCAGCTGTGTAGGCTTCATCTGTGGGGAACAGGGAGCCTTTAAACAGTGCTGCTGGGAGAGAATATTAACTCCTCGGAACGCTCGACCCGTATTAGCGCTCTTGAGTAGGGTCCCCATAATACCCGGTACCGGTTTAATTTCTGACTCTCCCTTAATAAAGGCTTGAAACCCACGAGAAGTAATATTCTTACTTGTCGGGGTATACGGCTGGAGTTTCCCGGTCGGTGCAGGGTCTTGTTTCGCGGATCCTCCATTAGTCTCGGCGATTTCCCCTGGTGCCGGCTGGTCGTGACGTTTTAAATTTGCGCCACCATATTCTCCTTTTTTCGCCCTCTCCGAAGTTGCCACGTTGTCCGTTTTCTGCTTCGGAGGTGCCGCACTGTGCTTGTCCTTCAGCTCCGCACACCTTCTCTTCATTTTCCTACACGCCAAGATACGATGTCCTGTAGCGCCGCAAAATTTGCACGTCTCATTATTTGCTAGCCGCTGCTCCACATCGCCCTCGTCGTTCTCCATCGGGTCGGCAGTCGT